CCAAAGATATAATGTGAAACTATGATTCAAATCTACCAACCAACAAACCAACAAACCAACCAACTAATCAAACCAACCAACCAAACAACCAACCAACCAACCAACCAACCAACCAATTCATTATGTACATAACAATGAATACAGCTGTGTGTTTTACTATAAAACAGTAACAAAACAATTTATTCTTTAGTTTATGGAAAAAAAACAGATTAATTTCCCTCAGTAGCAATAATGCTAATTTGAGGTAGATTACACTTGTTTCCCACATTCTGAAATTATTTAAATAAAATGTCTTTTGGCTTAATTTCCTTTAATGCTGCCAAGGATTGTAAGCTGTAGGTAATGGTCAAGATGGAAACTTTAGCTGAAGTACATGCCTTATATTCCATTTCTGTAATTCACTTCATATGAAAGGGTGCTATTTTCTTTATGGAAAATCTGAAATTCATGATGACATATTTTGGGTAATTTAAAAAAATAGTCCTTCTTCAAGAAGGAGCAGATAAGATGGTTTCCCATACTTTACTTATCTTTCCTCCTGAAGATGAATAGTCTCTGGTGGCAATAATATCCAAGCAATTGAAAAAATGACTAAATAACAGCACTACAGATATCCATGAAAACATTCAACATTGTGAGGGTGAGGCATGCCTTCAGAGCTCTAATCCCAATGGGTGCAGATTTAATGTAGCATTGAGTCTAAAATATGAATGGGAATGAGGTGAAAACTAGGGGCAGTAGGAACATGTGCTTCCTACCTGGCTTAGACTCTGGAGTAGTTTCCTTCAGTATTCTCTAAGGTTTTTCTAAAACAGCTCATATTTAAAATAAAATTCCTAGTTTAAATAAATTCTTCCAATTTTCAATTCATGGATATTTTCAATTAGTTTAGTCCTTAATGATAACACAGTAAATATAAGCCACCACATTAAGTATTACCTTACCTTCAGCTCTGACTTACCTAACAGCATGTGTGTTCTAAGTAGTATATTTTTTACACTCCCTGGTATTGAGAGCCACTTGTAGCAAAATTCCATGGGAGTACACAGCAGTGACAATTAGAGTTCAGAAGGTCAACCTATCAGAACTAAGGGTTCTGTTAGAGGAAACCATCCTGCAAGGCTGGTCTATATCACATCAATCATTAATCCAGTCTGTTAGAGGTAATTCCTCATTTGAAGTCCCATCTTTCAAACAAATTCTACTGTGTTTCAAGTTGATCAAGAGTAGAGAGCACAATCACCATTGGGGTCTATAGCAGAGGTCTCAAACAAAGGCATGTTGTGCATGTCAGAAAAATTCTTCTTTTCTTTATTTTCATGAGACCTGTTTCAGAGTACCTCTTGATTTCTGGAAGCTCATTATCTACACAAGTCCACCTAGAACTCTCAGAGATTGGGCTGCCTCTCCGTCCTGTTCCTGAGATTAAAGTTATGGTTCACCACACCCAGATGGCCAGTTGACTTTTGTGCCAAGCTCTTGAGCACCTGGATGATGCTTTTCAGGTTGCATTTATTTCCAGCAGAATCTGTGGTATATCATTTGCTAGCAAATGCTTTTTGAATTCATCTATCTGAGATGGCAGGCTGTGGAATCTTCCATGTTGGTCACATACATAAAAGCAACAACATGCACATTTATACAGTAGGGCTACCCAGTGCTTTTTTTTTATGAAACATTCTTGTCTTCCCATTTCCTGTAACAATATGTTTATGCACTTTCCATTGATCTCCACAGCTCACTCTAAGAAAGTCACCCCGATTTTAGTCTCAGTGTGTTCTGGAAGCTTCCATGTAGCAGAAAGTGTAGGCTTTCTTCACAAAGACATTATGAAGTAGAAAGGGATAAGGTATAAGTGAAAGTCAAACTTTCCTTTTCTCTTTTTACCACTCATTTACACCATCTGGCTATTTTTAACTCTATGCATACAGTATGATATGTTCTCAAAATTTGACCATAGGAAGAAATAACATTGTGTAAATTTGCATAGCTTTATATCAGTTTGTAAGAACTTAAGAGTTACCTGGAAAGAAGAAGCTCAATTAAGGGATTCTCTCCATCAAATTGCCTATAGTCTAGTCTATAGGACATTTTCTTGATTAGTAATTTTCTTGATTAGTAACTTCTGTTGGATGGCCTGGCAGAAAGTGGGCCGTACAAAACCTAGGCCTCTGGTAATAGATGATATAAAAATGCAAATTGAGCAAGCTATGGGGGTCAACTCAGTAAGAAGTGTTTTTCTTTGGCTCCTGCTTGATTCATTTTCTGTCTTTGGTTTGTGCCTTGAGTGCCTGCCCTAATCTGTTGAGATGATGCACTATAATGTGGCAATGTGAACCACATGAACCATTACCTCTCCAAGTTTAATTTGGTCATGGTACTTTTATCACAGCAGGCGAAACCCTAACCAGTATCAGCAAAGTAACAGAGTTTGAGGTAAAACACAGAAAGAAAAAAGGAGGATATTTTTCTATTCAAAAAAATACCACATGGTTTTATATACATGTAATCAGCTATTACTGACAATATATTAATTGTGTCTACATCTAAGAATTTTCTAGAAGGTAGCTTGACGCCAACATTTCCAATGAAGTCACTTTGCTCAAAGTGAAACATCTTTCTACCACATAGATAATGGAGGGCAAGGGATGGGGGATGAGAGCTACTTGTTTCTCTTTTTCAAATAATTATCTGTGCTGTGCCCATCAGGCATTGTAGTACTCATTTAATGCATGATTTCAAAAGTAAATTCCTCTTTTAAAGACTATTCACAAGAAAAGGGAAGTTAAGCACACTGGTCCTTTATGTCCAAATATGGCTAGGAAGTTGTGTTCCTTGCTCATAATCCACCATTCAGCCTTAGTAGCCATGGAAACATAAGAAGTTTTAAAGAGAGTTAATACTCTGTCAACTGGCAGTCACTAACATTTGGTCTTCTAGAAGGGAAAAAGAGGCAAGTATTTCACATTCCCAGGTGGTTTTATTAATCACATTTGATTTCACGGGACACCGAGTGCTAGAAAGGGTTACTGAAATGTGATTAAGTGTGTGTAAATGCTGCTGTGCATCATAAGTGTCCAGAAGCCCCATGTGGGACTGCAGGTAATCATTGAGCTTCCCTGCAGATTTTATTTGTGTAGCTCCCTGATGTGGAGTATAAGAGTTAGCCCCGCTCTGTTGTTCCCTTACCTACAAAATGGGGGAAATGATTGGATGGGTATCCTTAGAGAGTCTGTAATATCAGATGTATGAATACTTCTTCAGTGTTTGATGAGTTTCTAATTAAGCCAAGGACAGGAGGTGAATGCAAATGATTGTGGGATCAAGGGGTTGGAGAGACATTGCTCTGAGCTGAAATATCTGCCTAATTGAATTTCTTTTTTCTGAAGGTGTTTCCATTCTTTCTCTGACTGCATATATGATCATTTAATACTAATGGGAAGAACTTCTGTGATCCTGCAACCTTCCAATTGAATCTTCTTATCCAGAATACACAAGGTATAAAAACATTATAAAGTATATGGGAGTTTTAAAATATGGTCTTTATGAATCACACGCATCTACTCCACATGTTTCAAACACCAGAAGAAACAGATACTGCCAAGCTAGCTCAATTTTTTTTTTCTGGAACAACAGCAGTCTTCATCGTGTTTTCAGTACTGCTTCACAGCACACTGTTTTTATAGTCCATTGCCTCAGGCCTGCCTTGGCAAGGAAGATATGGGCAGGGTGTTACCCAAGCCACCATGAATTATGAACTCATCTTGCTGATGAAACTTCTCTAGTAGAACAGCTACTGCCTTTACTCAGTCAGCAGGCACATTCTACAGAGACTTTAGAGCAGGGGGTAGCTGTTAGGAATGTTTCCTGGCAAGGAGATCCAGTGTGTAGGCCCTTCAAACTTCTGCATGCACAATTAACAGTGATGTTATCCACATGCCTAGTGAATAAGTGACTCACCTCTTTCCTTTCTGTTAAATGATCCAGTATTACCCCTCAGTGTGTGATTTTTCTCCATTTCATCCTAAGATTGGAATTGAGAAAAGGTGCAAAGAGGTTAGTTCAAAGTTACAATATAGAGTGTAAATTTTTTGTGAAAGAAGATATTTGCTAATACAAAATATGTCAGGATTCTTTTTGTTTCACTGAAATGAAGCTAATTATCTAAAAATGAAATTTTAAGTAAGAGATGGGCTATATTTGGATATATACATTTTTATGGATTTATATGATTTTGCGTGTTAATTATCCATATCCTGTATTCCTCTGACTTACTCTGTGGACAATTTTACACATAGATTTTGGTTTTCAGATACTAAAGAAGAATTCAGGGTTTCATACATGTTAGATAACCACTTTACCACTGAACTCTATCCCCAGGTGTGTTACAGTAGATGTTGATGGGCATGTACTTTCTGGTTTCTTTAGAGAAGTGTATATTTCTGTAAAATTCACAAAGAGGAATAGCATTGTAGACTACCATTTATGAGGTGTATCATTATGTGCAGATCAATTTGTATACACATGTATGTATACACAAATGTCAAGTGTGTTATTTTTACATAAATTAGTTTATTATGTGAATTAGTTTCATTTTCTTTGGTTCTTTCATAGATGATTTTAGTTTGTTGTAGTCATGAAATGTTATAGTACTATATTTTAGAAATGACAATTAATTTGAGCATTCCCCTGCTTTTTCCTCTCTTTATGGTACTAAAATATTTACAAATTGCAAATACAGGTAAAATAAGCATGGCATTACATATGATATTGCAAAGTCTCTTCTCATTTTCAGTTCTAAGCATTGAAACTCCTAGTCAACAAATATTATTTTCTACTCTGTGAAGAATAATAATCTGTACATAGACCACTGAAACATCTCTATGTGACAACAGGGACAAGGTATGAGAGCTCAGTGCTCTCTAAGCCATGACTCCCTCTGTTTTCCTGCCTTCCCTTGTAGTCTCACTGACTCTATTCTTCTTTGATGCCTTCTTCAGATTTGCCAAAATGAAGGAGTACATCTTCAAGTTCAGTGGCCTGATTTGCAGTACAGCAGCTTTGGTGCTCGAAATCATCCTTGCAAACAGCCAATGCTGGCGCCTGTGGGAGTTTAACAACAAGGTTGTGCAATTTGTGTCATTTGGACTCTGGGAAGCTTATTACACTCAGGAATTTAACATCTCTGGGTCTATGACCAGGATGTTGGTTCACACCCCTATCAATTCAACCTGGAACAAGTCATCGGAATTTCAGTATTTACAAGTGCTGATAGCGTGGGTCATTTTGATGAAAATCCTAGTCATGATTTTCACTTCAGTGGCCATTAAGATCAGCTGTATGGAAGACCCATTCATTGAGATCCAGCTGTTTTGCTACAAGATGTCTGCCATAATTTTGGCTGTGAGCAGCCTTTTCACGTTTGTTACTGTGACCTTGAACCACCTGGTAGACATCTATGGGCAAAACACTCTTGACTTTTCACCTGACTTTCCCGTTAAAAAGGAGGACATTATAAAGAAACACTGCACAACTGTGTTCCCAATGGGTGTCCTGACAGCCACAATGTCACTCTTTGGCGAGATTTTGTTTCTCTGTGAGATGATCTCTTTGACAGGACAGAGTCAGGTGAAGGCCCAGTGTCCTTCCAACCTGGCTGAGCAAAAGGTCTGAAGTGAGGGCTCTGGCATTTTAACATCTGCCAGGAGAATCCTTGAAGAAATTGCCCATTTGTACACAGTACTGTGTAATCACCAATTCATTCTATATAAAATATCAACTTGACTTCTGGGATTGTGTCTAAGTTTTATTCCTTCTTTGCTCTAAAACGCACTCCATTCTTTAAATGTTTTCACACTCTAAATTGCAGGTTGTGATCCCATTCGACACTGCCAACAAGCAATAGCAAGAAAGAGTACAGTATAAAGGCATGTTTCCTAAGTAAACCTAGTGAATCCCATGAGTAATATGGTTTGCAAGTAAGCAGACACCTCAACACAAAAAAAAGAAACCACATTCTTGTGTGGAGACACTTAAGTATTCATATCTCTGACAGGTAGAGCAGGATGTTTTAGCCTTGGCACTGCTGGGAGATTGGGATGCTCTCTTGGAGAAAGAAGGCAAGACTGTTCACTGAGTATGTAGTGCCATCTGTCGTATGTTGCTGTTAGAAGTCAGTAGCCATCTCCTATTTCCCCAGTTGTGAATAAATGCCACAAATGCCCAGGCATTTCCAGTGTGCTCTGATGGTCCATGTGGTGGGTAGCATAGGGCCATTCTAATCTCTCAGCCATCCTTCAGGACCTTAAAAAATACTGGTTTTCTTCCTGGTAACATTAGTCCCTATTCTTTATCAGGTCAGCTTTCTGAGTGTGTGTTATACTGAGTGTGTGAATACTTTCTCTCAGTAGATCTGGATCAGTGGTTCTCAACCTGTGGTTTGGAGCCCCTTTGGGGGGTTGAATGACCCTTTCACAGGGATTGCCTAAGACCATTGGAAAACACAGATATTTACATTATGATTAATATAACAGAAAATTGCAGTTATGAAGTAGTAATGAAAATAATTTTATGGTTGAGGGTCACTGCAACATGGGGACGTGTATTAGAGGGTCACAGCATTAGGAAGTTTGAGAACAACTGACCTATATCTTCCATCTCCATCACCACCCCCCAGCATATCACAATACAGCTGATTCATTTCTCTGACAAAATACGTAACATGAGCAAGTAAAGGAAGGAAAGTTTATATTGGCTCTTAATTTGAGGAAATACACATCATGACTGGGAGATTGGAGACAAGAGTCCCAAGTTGCTTGCTACATTGCATTAGTATTTAGAGAGCAGGGAGTGTAGTTAGAGCACTGCAGATGCTTACCTTGCTCTCTCTTTGTTATGCAGCCAGGGACCACAGTCCAAGGATGATGCTACTCTATTTCAGATGGTTCTTCCCAGCCCATTTAACCTCATCTTAACCTCTTTGAGACATTACCATAGGCTTCTGTATTTCTTGATTTTAGATCCTGTTCACTCAACATTCAATATTAACCATTCCTAATCCTCTTCTTGACAATTTATGGTCCAAACTTTTTACATTAATTTTTTTTTGTGTGTGTGTGTGGTTGTACAGGAACCTTTTTGGCTTGTCGTGATGTTATAGGGGACTTGGTAAGCAGTAGCCATCTAGGGGTATATAAATTTCATTAATTTGAGTGGACAAATTATATATGTGCTGGAAATTTAACCCACACCCACAGAGAGTGGAGTGATGGGTGAACATGGTAGAGTGACAACTATAGATCTGTGACAAGGAATTTTAAACTGGAAGCCACTGGGTTTGAAAGTAACAGAGATATGAGTGTTCCTGAATGAAAGCAAACTATTGTAAACTCAATATACCCAGACTCAACTGAGCACAGAAGCAAGATCAGATGTCATGAAATGTTTTTATTATGAGCAATGTGTGGCTGATGACAGGATGTGGAATCATAGAACAAAAAGACTTCTGCACATGTATGTGAGAATATTTAGGCTAGGATAAGTGAGGTGGATGATTTATGATAAATATGGGTGGCATCATTCCATGAGCAGTGGACTCAGACTGCATAAAAAGCAGACATCTAGAAGATCAGAAACATTCATAGCTCTCTGCTCCCAGGTGACAGGCACAGAGTGACCGGAAGCCTCATACTTCCTACACCATACACTCTCTGCTGTTACAGTACCCTCAAACTGTAAGAAAATAATGTTCAAATATCCACTCTTTCCTTTCTTTCATCATGTCAGATATTTTCACAACAATGAGACAGGTAAGTAATGTAGAATAGTGGTCCTTGGAATAGAATTGTTCAAGTTAATGTTATAAACCTAACCATGAGCTTATTAAACTTTTAGAATCAGTACTTGGGGAATATGGAAATATTTGGAGCTATGTATTAGAAATGCACTCAAATGTTCTAAAAAAGAATTTAATTGGCCATTCCATGGTGAATGTGCAATTCTAGAAGGATGTGGAGAGTTGGAAGCTGCTCATGAGTATTCAAAGAGGATCAAGGACTGTAAGGTAAAAGGGGCCAGTGGTCATTCATGTTCTATGCTGGCACAGAGCTGGATGCATTGTACCTGTGTCCTGAAAACCCGAATATGACTGAACTTAAATATGTAGAATAATTTGTCTTGTGGAGGACATTACAAACCAGGATCGCCTTCAGGCAAAATGATCAGGACTCTTTCACAGGTTTACAATAGAAAAATAGGAGTTATTAGGTCTAAAAATATAAGATGTCATCAGTGTTTTTAATCTTATCCATTCTGACAGATGTAAGATTTTATCTCAGAATCATTTTGATTTGCATTTCCTTGATTACCAAGGATGTTGAATAATTCTTTAATATTCTTTTGTGTTAGAGTGGAATGTTCTGTCGATATCTATTAAGTCCATTAAGTCATAGCATCTGTTAGATTCCTTATTTCTCTGTTAAGTTTCTGTCTGGCAGTCCTGTCCATTAGTGATAGCAGGGTGTTGATGTCTCTCACTACTTGTGTGTGGGGTTTGATGTGTGATTTAAGATTTACTAGTGTTTCTTTTACATATGTGTGTGCTCTTGTGTTTGGCGCATAAATGTTCAGAATTGAGACTTTATCTTGGTGGATTTTTTCTGTGATGAATGTGTAATATCTTTCTTTATCTCTTGTTATTGATTTTAGTTTGAAGTCCATTTTGTTAGATATTAGGATAGCTACACCGGTTTTCTTCTTAAGTCCATTTGATTTGAAGGTCTTTTCCCAACCTTTTGCTCTGAGGTAATGTCTGTTTTTGAAGTTGAGTTGTGTTTCTTGTATGGAGCAAAAGGATGGCTCCATTTCCATATCCATTCTTTTAGCCTGTGTCTTTTTATAGGCCAATTGAGTCCATTGATATTAAAGGATATTAATGACAAGTGATTGTTAATTCCTGTTATCTTTTGTTGGTAGAGTGTGTATTTCCCTTCTTTGGGATTTCCCTTCTTTGGGATTTTCTGCCATGGGGTTGTCTATTGCTTTTGTTTTTGTGGGTGCATCCAACTTTCTTAGGTTGGAATTTTCCTTCTAGTGCTTTCTGTGTGGCTGGATTTGTGGAAACGTACTGTTTAAATCTGTTTTTTTTTTCTTGGAATATATTGTGCACTCCGTTTGTGGTGACCTAAGGTTTTGCTAGATATAGTAGTCTGGGCTGACATCTGTGGTCTTTTAGTGTCTGCTTTACATCTGTCCAGGACCTTCTGGCTTTTAGAGTTTCCACTGAGAAGTTGGGTGTTATTTTGATGGGTCTGCCTTTGTAAGTCACTTGGACTTTTTCCTTTGCTGCTCATAATATTATTTCTTTATTCTGTGTGTTTAGTGGTTTGATTTTTATGTGGCAAGGGGATTTTTTGGGGGTCTACTCTATTTTGTGTTTTATAAGCTTCTTGTATATTCATACGTATTCCCTTCTTTTCACTGGGAAAGTTTTCTTCCATGATTTTGTGGAATATATTTTCTGTGCCTTTGAATTGATATTCTTCTCCTTCTTGTATCCCTATTATTTTTAGTTTGGGCATTTTAAAGGTGTCCAGGGTTTCCTAGAAATTTTCTGTAATGACATTTTGGCTTTAATGGTTTCTTTGACTGACGAATCTATTTCCTCTATTGTATCCTCCATGCTAAAGATTCTCTCTTCCACCTCTTGTTTCTTTACCTGTTTAATTGCTTTTTCTTGGTTTTCTTGACTTTCTTTAAGTGATTTATTGATATCTTCCAATTTTTTGTTTGTATTTTCCTCAATTTATTTTAGTTAGTTTTTCATTTCCTCTTTAAAGGCTTCTATCATCTACACAAAGTTATTTTTACAGTCCCTTTCTTCTGCTTCTTCTGCTTTGTGATGTTCAGGTCTTGTGGTTTTAGACCTGTTAGGTTCTGATGGTGCCATATTGCTCTTTATGTTTTTTTTTTTTTTTTTTTTTGGTTTTTCGAGACAGGGTTTCTCTGTGTAGCTTTGCGCCTTTCCTGGAACTCACTTGGTAGCCCAGGCTGGCCTCGAACTCACAGAGATCCGCCTGGCTCTGCCTCCCGAGTGCTGGGATTAAAGGCGTGCGCCACCACCGCCCGGCACTCTTTATGTTTTTGTATATATTTTTGCACTGGCATCTACCCATTTCTTCCTTCAATATGTGCAAGAAGTGTCTGTATCTGAGGGCGCTGCCTTTGGTCCAATCTGTGCTTGTTATATCTGTATCTCAGGGGACCATTCTTGGACCAATTGTAGCTCTTAGTCTTATTGGAGCTGGTAGATTCTGTGTCTCAGGGAGTCATTCGTGGTCCAATCAGGGCTGGAGGATTCTGCTTCTCAGGAAGCTGCTGTGGTTGCAGAGGAATGGGCAGGTTTGTGGTAGGGAGCGGGTCTTGTAGATTGCAGGATCTGATGGGAGTGTTGGTAGGGAAGCCTTCCTCCAGGGATCTTCCCTGCTTGTCTGCAATTGTGACAGTGATGGGTGGTCACAGGTTGTGCCCCATGGCCTATGTCCTAGAGACAGGACTCTCATGGTTGGAGAAGAGTCACTCACCCCTTGGTCTAATCATAGCTGGAAGATTCTTTGTCTCAGGAAGCACCTGAGGATGCAAGGGATGGGTAGGTTTTTGGTAGGGTGTGGGACTTG